TATAACTGTGATTTCATTCGTTAAACGTCACTTGTTGTGATCGAATGCAATTGATCGAATTAGGAAAGTCCGCAGACTACGAAGAAAGACCTAGACAATACTAGAATACCCCGTGTTCATATAGACGTTTCTCTCTCCCGATTTTTACGTTCAGAAGGAATACTTAAAGGGTCCTCCGCTCGACGTGATGGCGCTGCTTTGGCATTCAAAATAATGGCGCAAAATTTGAAATAAAAATTAATGAATTTTAGTACACGGGTACTTGAAACTAAATTTGGTATTACAATCGTATTATGTTTTGTACTAATACAATGGTAACAAAAATATACTAGATAATATTATATTATAATAAATATACAATCAAATCGAAATATAAATCAACAAATACACTGTTGGTTTATATATAATAGATATCACATCTAATCTACTGGAATAACTTCTACACTTTTTCTACTTATTGATATATTTATTGAAATTTAGTGAATAATGCATATAGTGTTAGTTCATTACATCGTCTGTCATTCTTAACTCTCGTTAACTAATAATCATCCCGTGCAAAACTTGACATTCTTAAGCAATTCATTTTCTCCCAAGTATATTCAGATCCGTGTGAAGTGGTAATCCAATTTTAAACAGCTGGAACAGCTTTTTATTTGTGTATTATGTCTTTATTGTAGAAGCGCATACTGATTTCTTACACAATTTCTTAGAAATGACCTCTTTCCTTAAAGTGATTAGACTAATGATTAGACTAATATGTCAATGCACTACGTAGTAATGTAGTAATTATGTCCTCCATATGAGTTTGAAGCTGTTCTATTCATATTGTCAAAGGGCTAAGCATTTGAGAGCAATTCCTGATGAAATCTTTATTAACAAATATACAACCACAAGAAGAGAACAAACAAGAATCGCCATTTTGTAAACTTACACAAAAATAACACTGACGTTTCTAGTAACCAACATAAAACATTTGAAAATACTTTTTCATCGGCTCACTAGCGCCAAATCTGCGACTACAAATGGACCCCTAAGTATTCCTTCTGAACGAGGATTTTGTTCTAAGTGAAAAGGCCCTGAAGAAAGATACCGAAACAAAGTTTCGTCTCGCTTTTGTTCCAACTATTCATAGAGTAATTGTTTCTGTGTAATATTAAACTACATTGGATGTGTATACATTCATAGATAAAAGAAGAGTATACATTACATCACAGACCCTGGTGCATCTAGTGTTTGGAATTTGAACTACCCATTATTTGACTTTAAAAACGTCAAATTTGTTGGTTCCAATCATTCACTTATTAAATTAAAATTTAGTTAACTTTCCGGAGGAGAAGTTTATGTCATCAAAAAACTTGATTCGCTAATTCTATGTTTTCTCGACGTTTCAAGACATTTTGAAACGAATGAGAATAAATTTGGAAAAGTATGTGTATGTGAACAGATTTTTTGCGGTAAATCGACCTTTTCTCAAAAACGGCTGGACTGATTTCAAAAATTTAAAAGCCATTTGATGTATTTCGATGAGGACTAGCGTTTATCAAATTTACGCGACGATCAGCCAAGCCGTTAAATCGCATAAAAATGAAAAAAAATTGTCCACGTTTTAGCCCGAAATTCTGAATCGATTATGAAAATTAAAAACCGTTCGAATATATTGGTTGGGAATCGTGCTGATTAGTTTTGGTAGAGATCGGCCGGGCCGTTTTCTTGTAATAAAGTGTTAAAAAATTTTTTTCGGCGTTTTTTTATTATTTTTTTGACGAAAGATACAATAGTCTTCCAGATCATACTTAAATATTACGGCTTACGACAACTCGTTTAGCTTTAGCTTTAAAAATTCGTCAAAGTTTGCAAAAATTAGTATCGTTTATTCGCATTTGTCAAAATTAGACCATTCATCGACATTTACTCAAAAACGCCTGAACCGATTTTAGAAATTTAAAAGCCATATGATGTATCTCGATGAGGATTATCGCTTCTCAGTTTTGTGCGACAAGCGGCCGAGTCGTTCCTTTGAAATTTGAAAAAAAGTGTTAAACTTTTCGTCTGCATTTAAGCAATATACTACCGAATCGATTTTAAAAAATCAAAAACTGTTTGAAAAATATTAGCTGGGAATGATACTGATTAGTTTTAGGTGAAAATCTACCGAGCCGTTTTATTGTAATTAGCTGTTGAAAAAAAAAAATAAGTCGATTTTAGTCATGGTACTTTTTTGCTGGAACTTCCCGCAACGTAACGAAATATTCGAGAAATATTAAATGTTTTCATATAGATTATTATAAGTATTGTAACATTGTAGAATATTTATAAGAATTATATTAACTGAATTGCAAAGTATATTAGAACTTTAGTCATAATTAAAATTAAAATCTGAATCATTTTTGATATACAAAAAAAAGTGACAAAAAAATTGAAACACATTTTTTCTAAAAGCAATTATTTTGTTAAAACAAGCAGAAAGTTCTTTGAATCATTCAAATCGGGCGCTTAGTTCTCTCAAAAACTGCTATTTTTGTAAATTTAGCTCTCTATCTTCGAAATGGCTGCACCTGCCTTTGCCGAAAACTAATCACCACTTCTCCCAATAATTACAAATTGAATGTTTTTTAGATCATTCAAATCGGATACTCCGTTCTCTCAAAAACTCTTATCTTATCAAAAAATTTTATTTTCTGCACTCTTTGTTTTTTATCTCCGTAACAGCTGCACCTGCCTCTACCAAAAACTAATTAGCACATATCTCCCTATTAAGAGATCGAATATTTTTTGAACCATTCAAATCGGTTGATCCGTGCGTCCGAAACGTGAACGAAAAAATGCGGACACACAAAACACACACGCACATCCATTTTTCTGAGGTATGACCAAGTGTTCAGAAACCTTCAAAATGTCGAGAATTACAAAAATTAGTTTGAGGTCTTTAGTTTTTGGTAAAGACAGGTGGAGCCGTTTTGGAGATAAAGAGTTAAATGCGCAAAAAATGCTAGTTTTTGAGAGAACGGAGCATTCGATTTGAATGATTCAAAAAACTTTCTGCTTGTATTGACAAAACAATCGCGTTTGGGAAAAGTTTTTTTACTTCAACATTTATTGTTCTCTAATTTTTTTTTGTACATCGAAAATAAGTCGATTTTTAATTTTAATTTTGGCTAAAGCGGAGCAAAGAGTGCACAAAATAGAAATCGAGTTTTTGAGAAAACCGAGTATCTGATTTGAATGATCCAAAAAACATTTAATTCGAAATGATGGGGAAAAGTGGTGATAAGTCTTTGGCATAGGCAGGTCCAGCCGTTTTGGAGATACGCAGCTAAATGTGCAAAAAATGGCAGTTTTTGAGAGAAATAAGCATGCGATTTGAACGATTCAAAAAACTTTCTGCTTGTATTGACGAAACGATTGTTTTTGAAAAAAAATTTTTTAGTTGACTTTTTTTTAGGTACCATAAAAATTATTTTTTTGAATATCAAAAATAATTCGGATTTTCAAAATTTCAAAAGTTCCAGCAATTTGAATCCACCAGTTGAAATCTCTTTAGGATTTTCCACAAAAAATTTTGCTCTATTCTACTAATTGATCAGTATAAATTGGCATTAATGGATCAAAAATTGTAATTTATTTTGTCTGAAATATTACAACTGAGTACTGTTTAATAAGAATAATGCAATTTAATAAAATTTGTAAAAATATCTGTAAATCTTGTAATATAAAAAATATATTTATATAAATTTATTCATGGTACTAAATATTTGTACAGCAGTAATTAAATTTTCAATGCAAATAAAATATAAGTAATTCATAGATATTTCACACGCAGTGTTAGTTTCTGCTTGGTAATATTTCATTGATCTTCATCACGTTTTCCACTGTGAACAGTCATCTTGTGTCTCTTCAAGTTGTTCGATTGTGAAAATTCCTTATTGCATGTATCACATTTGAAAGGACGCTCTTTGGTGTGAGTGGTCATGTGTGATTTCATATTAGCTTTTTGTCTGAATGTCTGATTGCATATATCACATTTGAAACGGCGTTCTCCTGTATGAATATACATGTGCCTATTTAAGTCACCCGAATGTAAGAATGTTTTACAGCATATTTCACATTTGAAACGACGCTCCTTGTGTGAGTGAACATGCGGTTTTTCAAATTATATTTTCGTTTGCATGTCTGATTGCATATTTCACATTTGTAAGGACGCTCTTTGGTATGAGCGATCATGTGCCTTCTTAAATAACATTTTTGTGCGAATGTCTGATTGCATATATCGCATTTGAAACAATGCTCTTTGATATGAGTGATCATGTGTAATTTCATATTAGCTTTTTGTGTGAATGTCTGATTGCATATCTTACATTTGAAAGAGCGTTCTCCTGTATGAATGTGCATATGTTTTGCCAAAGTGCTTTTTTCATTGAACGGCTTATGACAGATTTGGCATTCGATAGGGCGTTCTGTGTTATGAGTATTCATGTGATGTTGCAATCGTAATGAATATTGAAATGTCTTATCACATACATTGTATTTAATGTTGCCTTTTTTGCCATTTCTAGGTATGTGGACAAACGTGTGCGATTTTTCAAATGATCTATTACTTATGTCACATGCATAAGCAGATGTATCGATTAACTCATGTTTGACTTCTTCTTCAATAATTACTGCGGAGTTCATAAATCTTTCCAGACAAGTTTTATCATCTTCTAAACATGATTCAGACTTAACAATACCTGTAAGATCATCAAATTCATTTTCAAGTTTAATGTCTTCCATTGAATATTCTGGTGGCTCAATTTTAATTTTCTGATCATTCATAATTGTTCCTTCAGATATTTTCACTGCGTATATTCAAAAAATATGGATTAGTACTATTTAATAATATATTTTTTTTCAAATATCTTAAATAATATAATGAATCTAACTACACTTGCATTTGTTCTAGAAAATATTATCACTTTACACGGTTATAGTCGTTCGGAATTCAAGTTGACATTTTGAGCATAGAGTATGTTTTGATAAAGACGCGTTCAGAAGGATTAGTTAGGGGTCCTATTGTAGTCGCAAATTTGGCGTTAGTGAGCCGATGAAAAAGTATTCTCAAGTCAAATGTTTGATATTGGTTAGTAAGAAACGTCAGTGTTATTTTTGTGTCAGTTGACAAATTGTGATTCTTCTATTCTGTTTGTGTTTGTACATTTGTTAATAAGGATTAGGAAAGGATAGTAATCGCAAAAAACCAAAAATGAAAATTTTTGTATATCCTTACGTTTCAAAGGATTTTTCTTCGACGATTTCGGGAACACCGATCGACCGATTTGAATAATTCATAATACATTCGAATCATATTGATAAGGAGACGTGCTGATTAGTTTTTGGCGAAGGTAGGTCCAGCCGTTCCGAAAATACGGGGCATAAAGTGCCAAAAACGGTAACTCAAAAATTTTAATAACTCAAAAAACATTTTACTTGTATTGACATGATGAACAACTGATTGAATTTTTGGGAAGGCAAGTCATCGGTTATGGACTCTCAATAAAAATAAGTTACAAAAATGTCATTTGGCGGCAAAAAATGTTTATTGAATTATCAGATTTATAATATATAAATTATAAAGATTTTAATAATGTGTACACATTTTGTGAAAGTTTTTTTGGATTCAGTACCAAGATTTTTAATTACGGTACGAGAAGTTCCAGCAGTTTGCCTTAAAGCACGATGCCATGCACCACCCCACTAGTTTAGTAAATAGACCATTATCGTAATTTTCAGTATAGAACATAGTTTGCATTTGCATTTTACTCAAATTCACTATTAGGGAAATTGTTTCTACTACTTTGCCCATCAGAGCAGGAACTTTTGGAAATCTAGGATAACAAAATAATGTTAATGAGGTAGAGGACAACTGTATCGCAGCGGTTCAGTAATAGTTCTGAACTTGTTGCCTGTTATGTACTTTTGTAGTTTGCGCCTAAACTTTGTTTCAATTATTTGTTCTTTGTGGACTTTAATTATATCAAGTTTATTTATGGTGCACGCAATCAAAATATTATTGAATATGAAATATTATTTTGTGATAATATTTTCATATGCAGGTGTTTTTTTATTGTTTATATATTTTTAACCTACAAACTATTTGTGCTTTATTCGAAAGCACATGTGAAATAAGGTGGAATCTCTTATGGTTTTCGTTTTTTTAAACTTGCTATTGCTCAATCTTTTTCCACGCGTTTTGCACTACGACACTTTCTTCAAAGTCCTGTAGTTTTTCTAGCAAAAGTAGTTGATCATATGCATTTCTCTTAGTTTCAGTCTACTCAGTTCATACATTTTTCTTCATAAATTCATTTTACTTTACACAGTAGTCTTTATTTCAAACTTCAAGGATGCAATTTATCTTAACCATTCATCATTATGATTTAAAAACTTTTATACATCTTTCATTTTTTTTTTCTTTTTTGTCATATTTTGTCCACGACTTTGACCTTTGTAGTTTTTAAGTATTTGTACTTTGCTTGTCAATTGTATTTATTTTCTAGCCTTTTTAACTTCTTGCTATATATATATATATATATATATATATATATATATATATATATATATATAATATTTCAAAGTAACTAGCAGCCCATTCGTCGAAATAAAAAAGGTATAAAGTATAAAAACTTTTATTTATACGTTTCGACACAAGATGCGTGTCATCATTCAGCAACTACAACAATTTGAAAATTTTATTAACTAATGTAAACAACAAATTAGATTAATTATAGCATAGAGAAACATTATACACACCACAGGAAAAAACACTCAACAAAAATTTATTTTAAAAAATTAAACTTAATAACATATTATAGAAAAACATTTTTTTAGAAAAAATTATGAATAACTAAAAGATTTGAAAACTAATTTGACTAAAAGTTATGAAATGCATAATTGTAAAGCGAGAAACACGCCCATACCGAGCATCCAGACTCGACTGAATTATTTCAATAGGCGTATTGATAGGAATGGGAGGGGACGCATCAAGGACAAATTCTCGAGACACGAAAACGCCTCGAACACAGTGCTTTAAATGGAATTGATCAAAAGGAAACAGCAAACCATGTAAAAGTTAGAACAAGAAAAAACAAAATTGTAAAAAATAATATAAAAGAGATAAGCAAATTATTTTTTGTTTTTTTAATAAAATCAATAACAATCTGGTAACTATCATGTAAAAGGTGGGATGAATTGCGTCTATTAACACAAGAGGAGGAATTCAATGAAATAAAAAAGGATTCAGCAAATTTTCTAAGGTCACTATTTTTTTCGATATAAAGGATAACCGGATGTGAAGTGTTAAAAGTGTGATTGAGATTGAGCATATGATCTGAAAACATCGTTTTGAATTGGTTTGGATTTTTTGAATTATAAATATGTTGATTAACTCTCTTATAAATATACTGGGAACTTTCTCCAATATAACACATGTTGCAATCATTGCAATCCAACCTGTAAACAGAATCGGTGACCCTATCAGACGGGGTTCCAGACTTAAGAACCGAAAAAAGGCAATTAAACGTATTATCAAAACTAAAAACTAATCGGAATCCTTCTGAAGAAAATAACTTTTTTAAAAAATATTAAAAATTGCTTAAAAAAGGTAAACATATAGTTCCTTTGTATTGGACGGAAGAGGAAGCTATTGAATTTGAACAAGAAGGTGAAAATGAATTATTAGAATTCGTTTGTAAATAAATTAATCTATTATTAATGATGTTGTTGACCAAGTGCGAAGGGTAACTATTGTCTTTGAGAACGGAACGAATAAGAGTCAAATTTTTTTCCCAAAACATACTGTTACTTAGTAAAATAGCCCTGTCTATAAGAGAGATAATGACAGAAATTTTAATGGAACGCGAATGAAAAGACAAATAATTTAAATATCTTCCTGACCACGTTGGTTTCTGATACCAATCACTCAGGACAGAATTGTTTACTTTATTTTTAGTAATTCTTAAGTCTAAAAAACTAATAGAGTCATCCGACTCAATCTCACAGGTGAACTGCAAATGTTTGTTAAAAGAATTAAAAGAGTCTAATGTGTCTACAATCTGAGAATCGTCAAGGCACAACAGAACGTCATCAACATATCTATAATAAAGGTGAGGTGGAACAGAAAGATTAGATAAAACAAATTTTCTAAAATTTGTAGTGTTAAATCAGCCACAGGGGGGCTAATACTAGACCCCATGGGTAAACCAAAAATCTGCGAATAAAATTGATCATCAAAACAAAAGTAAGTGTTAACAAAAATGAAATTTAAAATCGTCTTAAACCAAACCAAGTCAATCGAAGTGTGTGGTTGGATATCATTCCAGCGGGCAGAAACAGCTTCTAAAGCCAAATCCCAAGGAATGTTCGTGAAAAGGGAGATGACATCAAAACTAACAAAGGAAGAATTGGAAGGAATTGTAAAATTCTTTAAATTTTTACTAAATCAAAAGAATTGGAAACATTAAATTTAGATAAAACAGTAACCTTAGAGAGAATGGAGCTGATATGTTTGGAGAGTTTACTTAAGGGAGAATTCAAATCGGAAACTATAGGTCTGAGAGGTAAATTAGGAAATGTGAATTTTAGGAAGACAAATCAGCTTGGGAAAACTGGGATGAAAAACTTTTAAAGAAAAACCTAATGATTTAGAGATTTGTTTTTTTAACTTCCCGTAGGGTAAGTATAGTAATCGTCCAAAAATCGAAATCAAAAATTTTTACATTTCTCGACGTTTTGAAGGTTTCTGAACATTTTGGCATACTTCAGAAAAAATGGATGTGTGTGTGTGTGTGTGTGTGTGTGTTTTGTATGTCCGCTTTTTTTCGTCCACGTTTTCGGGCGCACGGATCAACCGATTTGAATGGTTTAAAAAACATTCGATTCCTGTTGATAGGGAGATGTGCTGATTAGTTTTTGGCAAAGGCAGGTCCAGCCGTTACGGAGATATGGAGCAAAGAGTGCAAAAAATAGAAAGCGAGTTTTTGAGAGAACGGATCAACCGATTTGAATGGTTTAAAAAGAATTCGATTCCTATTGATAAGGAGATGTGCTGATTAGTTTTTGGCAAAGGTAGGGCCAGAGGTTTCGGAGATACAGAGCTAAATGTTGAAAAAATGGCTGTTTTTGAGAGAACTAAGCGTCCGATTTGAATGATTCAAAGAACTTTCTGCTTCTCTCAACAAAATAATTGATTTTGAAAAAAAAAATTTTTGTTTCTAATTTTTTTTTCAAAAAATTTTTTTTGTAATTTTGGATTAAAAATTCGAAAAATCACCTAAGCTAAGCACAGTCTAAGCGCCACTCTGGTACAAATGTTTACCCAAGTGCGTTTAGACTGTTTATGTACTGGAGCACTTTTCCAATTTTGTGAAAATTATTGAAAAATGTGAAAATTCCGCCAAGCTCAGCACAGTATAAGTGAAAATGTCGCACAGAATTATTTGCAAATGCGTTTAGACTGTGACTATGCGGGAGCACTTTTTCAATTTTGTGTAAATTTGGCAACTATTTTTTTTGAAATTTAATTCGAAATGAAATGACGATTGTTAATGTTATGAAGATGATAAATTGATTTATTTATAATTAACTTCTCGTAGAGCAAGTTATAGTAATAGCTAAAAATCGATTTTTTTTTTATATATCTTTACGTTTTAAAACCTTCTGAACATTTTGGCATGCCTTAGAAAAAATTGATGTATGTGTGTGTGTGTATGTGCGTGTGTGTGTGTGCGTGTATGTATGTGTGTTCGGATACAAATTTTTGTCGACGATTTCGGTTACACGGATGAAGCGATTTAACTAATTC